AGAAGAATACCAAGTGAGTCAAGTGACACTCTTCTCATTATTTCACTAACACTTTTTTGTAATAATTAGTTGCAACGTTACGAAGGAGGTTCTACGATCTATGGACCACAAACACTAAACCTTTACATAAATAAATTCAAACAGTTGGCTACAGCTTTAATAAATGTGAGTGATTTTACAATTAGAACAAATCTATGGTTGTTTTTTATCAGGGAAAGACTCTAGATCCAGGACCAACTCCTCCAGATTTTTCTTCACAATTGATCACGTTAGTTTCACCCCCTTCAGTTGATGGAATTGCAGAAAGTGACAATTTTGGCGACTGTCTCCAACAACCACCTGCATCTGTTTCACTTGGAGAGACCGTTTCAGTCAAATTTGTAAGTTAGTACCATTTTTAGTACTTTTTCAGATAAAATGTTTAGGTAAGTGGCAATCCTCGTCATGATGTTCTTCACGGCAGTACTTATATCAGTGTGGAACAATCAGTTGGTGATAACTGGGTTCTTGTAGCTTCAGATGCTAACTGGGAAACACGGTACTTTTCATCGAATTATAGTAAACTAGAAATTACATTTTTAAAAATTTAGATTTTATTGGAAGAGGACAAATCCGACAACGGGAGAGTCTGAAGTGACCATTGAGTGGGACATAGGCCAAAATGTTGAACCAGGACAGTATCGAATAAGACATAATGGCCATTATAAAGAAAAATCCGGAGAAATACGTGCTTATGAAGGAGTAACGAAAACATTTAATATCGCGTGATGCAATTGTAATTTAATATTTTATAAAATGTAAAACACTTTAATTTGAAATTGTAATTTTTATTTAAGTACTTAAAGCTAAAATATATTATATAAAACGATACAAGTTGTTTTAGTCTACCTCGTTATGGCAAAATCAATATTTACAATATTTATAAAAAAAATGTTTTTATATTTCTCAAATTTCTTTATACGCTCTACGTGATTATGTTGTTGGAATTGCAGATTGTACACTAACTGTTTTATTGTGTCCGAAAGCTGGATTATGCAAAACTGTCTCAAATTGGTTGTGGTATTCATTTGGGATAATTTTCCTGAGCTTATATTATAATATAGACGATGGACAAAATCGTATAGCAATACTTACACTGGAAGAAAATGTTCTAATAAGTGGTACTCATCCTCATTCCACTCTTAGTGGTTAGTTATTATTATATGTTAAACTAAATTCTGGTTTTGTGGAAGAAAGTTTCAACAACCTTGTTGACGGTATTACCCAGATAAACGTACAGACAAGGTTAATTGGTAATAACAATAATTAAAATCTAGTCTACGATTAAGGCATAGCATAAGGCATCATTAAAGCAAAAGTTTTTTAACTTCCGGAGACCTACTCAGTGCTAATATAAAACGAAGTCTTTCTTTGTATCTCCGAAATCCTGAACGTTGTCCTAAACCATTTACGTTAAGTATAAGTTTCTAGATATGACTACAACATTGATAAAGAAATTGCTACAATTAAAATTCACCTTGGTTTCAAGCAATAAACCTATCAGAATTATTAACTGGTTTGGAATTCATGAAACTTCCATGAACAATTTGAACTGTTTAGTTAGTTCTAATAACGTGGGTTACATTTTAATTTTACTTGAAATGTATTTTAATAAGGAGAATTTAATAGGCGAAGTACTACTTAACATAAATTACTACAGTTGAAAAATAAATCAAGATTTAGGAATCTTTTGCTTCAACAAACCTGGGCAATGTTTCCCCAAATATCAAAGGACCAATCTGTTACTTATAACGAAGATTCTAAATTTTGTACTATTGAAACAATTTTTGAAAGTACCAAAATAATTGGTGAAATACTGAATAACAAAGCAATTGTACATTTTGAAATTGTGATATAAAATCTTAATAATAATAATAATAATAATAATTGTCTTTTATTGTCTACAAATTGTCTACAAATAGGGCGAGGTGCAGGTAGCTCACAGGTGGATCCTCTGCTTAACCCTAATCACATTTGTAGAAACTGTTTGAAGAGAAAAATTTGTTTCAGGACCAGTTACATTCATTCATCAATTTGTTGAAAATTTTTGACGAAAAAGCAATAATAGAGCTAGAGAATGGTACTCAACAAGAGGTATCGAAATTTAACCTCTTTTTTGTTGTGTATTAGTTTGAGTTAGGTTCAAGGTTCTCTTCCTGCAGTAGGCTACGCTTTTGGTGCTGGTACCACCGATGGTCCTGAAGAACCATTGTTTAGTCAAGGCTGAGTTTCCATACGAGTGGCAACCCAAAATAGTAGTAACACAAATACTTATAATTGAAAAATTATATTCCCAACAATGGCCGGAAGAAGACTAAGAGAAGCGGTTAAAAACACTGTAATTAATAATTCAGGGTCAGAAAAGACGACACCAATTATCACAAGACATAGCAATCTTTATTCAAGCTATATAGCCACATGGAAAGAGTACCTACCAAGTAAGTGTGTTTTTATTTGAATTATTTATAAATATTTTAATTTGTTATTCAAATTTAAATACAAAAATATGATGGTACTTCAACCATTTTTGAACCACGTACTCTTATTCTTTACATAAATAAATGCAAGCAACTTGCAACGGCATTAAGAAAAGTACGAGTAGTAAAATTTTTAAAGCAAAAATTATAGGATGAAAAATTTGATCCAGGTCCCTCTCCACCTGAGCTTTTATTAAAACATTTAACTTGGTTACTTCCTAGTCACTTATTTAAAAAGAGAATGGAGACTTTTCAAGCCAGAGTGTTTCGACTGGGAACACTCTTGTTGTCAAATTTGTAAAATAATGATAAATCAATCCATTCCTTAAAATTTTGTTTAGGTTGCAGATAATCCAAGCATAATTCCTTATGTGGAGATTTACTTACTGATACAAATTGGAAAACAAAGTGTTATGAAAGTCCATTGAAAAGTGTTACAACTGAGAAATTTTAGATATCACTTGGAGAAAAACAAGCTTACAAAACAACATATTGCTTCTATTGAATGGAATATTAATGACGATATTGGGTCTGGAAAGTACCGAATTGATCACACAGGACACTTCAAAAATATTTTCGGACAAATTGTATGGACTAAGCTTTTATATTAAACTAAAATAAACTTTATCCCTAATTTATTGAAAGATTTGATTTAATCCTTTTTATAAGATTTTTGTTTATAACTTTATCAGATTACACAACTAAACTTTGGTACAGAGTTAATCCAAGATTACCAAATTCTTATATATTTGAGCAAAATTCGGCCCAAATCACTTTCAAAAGTGGCATCAACATGATTAAAATTCTAGTTTTGTCAACACTTCTCTGTTATGTTTCAGCCGATTATCAGGTCGGGATTGGAAGAGCTGATTGTACAGGTCCTCCAGCTGAAATAATATTTGTAAGTAAACAATCCTGAAGTTACAAAAAAATAAATAAAAAAAATAGATGGGCTATGCCAAATTAAGCCAGGTAGGTTGTGGATTACATTTACGACAATTTGCAAGAGCTTATATCATTGATGATGGAACAAGTCGAGCTGCTTTTGTGACTGTTGATGCTCTTGCAATGGCTCATTCAGTACGAAGACAGGTGTGTACTATCAAAAATCACTTAATTTTTTTAAGTAATGTTTTAAAGGTATTAAAAAATTTAGCTGAACTTTATAATGACACTTACACGGAACAAAATTTAATAATAAGTGGTACTCACACTCATTCTACACCTGGAGGTTGGTTCATGGATTTGATGTTGGATATTCCAATTTTGGGCTTCGTGCAAGAAAGTTTTGACACACTTGTAGAAGGAATAACTCAGTCTATAAAAAATGCCCACGAAAACATGGTCGAAGCTAAAATATTTCTATCGACTGGAATTCTTCTGGATGCAAATATTAATCGCAGTCCAGCTTCATATCTTTATAACCCTGAAGAGGAACGTGCAAAGTAACAATTTATTGCATCGTAGACAATTATTTTTTATTAATATTTTCCTCAGATATGAGTATAATGTTGATAAGGAAATGGTTCAGCTGAAATTCGTTCGTTCATCTGACAAGCAACCGATCGGTGTAATCAATTGGTTCGCTGTCCATCCCACATCCATGAACAATACAAACTGCTTGCTTACGTCAGATAACGTCGGATATGCTTCGCTTTTACTCGAAGACCATGTCAATAACGGCACCCTTCCAGGAACAGTATTAAATCCATTATTGTCCCGTCTTTAATCATAATTAATACTAATATTTAGGGAGCATTTGTTGGAGCTTTTGCTTCCACTAACTTGGGAGATGTTTCACCAAACACTAAAGGCCCGATTTGTATCGATACAGGCGAAGAATGTGATTTTGTCACAAGTACGTGCAATGGTAACGCTCAGACCTGTATCGCTTCTGGGCCTGGAAATAATATGGTTGAAAGCACGCAAATCATCGCAGGAAAACTTTTTGATAAAGCAAAAGCAAGTATTTTTTTACTCATAATTAATAAAGTCTGTTTTTTATTTAAATGGAAATTACCAAGTCAATATTTTGGTGAAAAAATTTCTAGTAGCTACGCATACCTAAAGACTAGGATACGACATAATGTAAAACAAAACTTTTCCGTTCTCGATAGTTTTATTAGTGAGGCCAGATAGCACAGTTGTTCCTTTCCCGTTTAAGTTTTAAAAGCAATGAAATAAAAAATGGTTGTGTTTTTACATAACGGTGAGCAGAACGCAAATAAAAAAAATATAGACAGATAGAGCATTAAATTCTCAATAATAAGAGGTAAAGATAATGGAAAATTTGTATTGAAAACTATATATAAAAACATTTCAAATATTTAGCAATTTGCACCCCGTCTCATATTTTTGAAAATGCTGCGAATACGGTTAAAGGTAGAAAAAAAATATTAAAAATAAAGTTGTAGAGAATAAAATTTTCAATAAAAAAGTCCGCGAGAGATATCTCTATCTTGAATGGTTTAGGTCCTAAAGATGTTCAAATATGTTCAAGTGACGAATACGTGTGATTTTAAGCGGTGGTCAAGAGACAAAAAAATAATTTAAACCAAAATGGTTGAGATATGGTCTTGCGGACTTTTTTGTACGAAATTTAATTCTCTACAACTTTGTATCTTCAACCGTATTCGCAGCGTTCTCAAAAATATTAAAAACAGTATTAAAAATAAATTGTAAACAATTATTACTTTGCGTTCCGCCCAATATTTTTGGGAACGCTTCGAATACGGTTAAGATACAAAAAAAGAATAAAATAGTTTCTACAATAAAGTCCACGAGACCATATTTTTATCTTCAACGGTTTAGGTTGAAATTAATTTAAAGTGTTCCTCTTTTGCGACCTAAACCATTAAAGTATGGTCTCGCGGACTTTTTACTAGAAAATTTTATTCTCTACAACTTGCTTTCTTACATTTTTCTTGTATCTTCAACCGTATTTGCAGCATTTTGAAAAACATGAAAGGGAGCACAGATTTTAAATTATATTTTTTTTTCTCATATTTCTCGTAAAAAGTTTAGTCGTTCGTTTTTCACAGTTTACCTATTTTTTTTCTAAGCAATTAGTACGCTGGTTGAATTTAAATTAATTTAAAACGATTTGAAATTGAGACGGTAAAACGCTCTAAGCGCCCTCATTTTTACTCCCCCGTACTACTTTTTTTGGGTTCAAAAAATAGAGCAATTTTGTATTTCGTTTCGTCTCCTAGTATATAGTAGCCACAACTTTTGCTTCTTTTTTGTTTTTGTTCCCAGAAATTTTGTTAAAAAATTATGGTTATGTATTCATGTTGTGATGTTGTCAAAATTTTGACTTTTATGAATCTTGTGTGCTTGTTGGCTCTTTGTAAGCCTTTATAATCGAATACCTGAGGGCAAACACACCTTATGTCCAAAGACAGAATTCAGTGTTAATAATATTGATAGAAGTACAATGGCCAAAAATGAGCTTCTTACTTCAAAAACTTTAATAAAAAAAAGGGTGTCTAAACAGAAAAAAGTTATTTTGCAAAAGATAGAAACAGGATTTATGAAGATTAGTAATTGTAATTTATTGAAATAAGCTCAAAGTTGATGCACTTTATAATTCTCCTTCTCCTTCTCAAAATTGTTACTTTTTCAACTCGTTCTTCAAAAACGGTGCAACCAGACCTACTAATTTAATTGCATTCTTTCTCTTTGATGTTTATTTTGTATTCTCATTAATTTCTTACTAAAAATTAAAAATTGTTTAGCAAACCTGCATTTTAAATTGCGTCTAAATTTCAACGGTGGTCTTCTTCTGACTTCTGTTTGCACACTTTTTGTCTTTAAATTTATAAAAACTGTTCGCGGTATCCAATTTGTCCCCGTTTTGTGTTTTCATTTCTAAATTTTCTTGAACGATTTTTTTTGCTGAGGTTTAATGACATTTTTTAATTAAATCAAAAACCGGAACTGCCAACTGCCTTTATTAAAATTACCATGAATGAATTTGTTAGGGGTGCCAACATTAAGACTGTTTGACTTTTCCAATAAAAAAAAGACTTTAAGTAGGTACAAGTTATTGATTTTTTAATCTAGGAGTTATTCCATCAAGAAGATACTTTTGAAGTCACTGGACCCGTCAGATATATTCATCAGTATGTAGARATGCCGAATGAAAAAGCTACAATTACTTTGGCTAATGGAACTCAACAAGAAGTAAGTTAATTTGTGTTTAGGCAAAGCTTATTATCAAATATTCAGATAGGAGGCTGTCCCCCAGCTATGGGTTACAGTTTTGCGGGTGGTACCACCGATGGTCCAGGAGACTTTGATTTTGCTCAAGGTACTACAACTGATAATCCTTTTTGGGACGCTGTTAGAGATTTTGTTTTTCCACCAACTGAAGACGAAATTGCGTGTCATGCTCCTAAACCAATTCTAATTAATACAGGAGGAGTAAGTTTTTGTTTTTGAKAAATTTGGTATTAAAGTTGATTTTAGGTCGACTTTCCGTACCCTTGGCAACCTAGAATTGTTACAACTCAGCTTGTTACTGTTGGAGAAATTGCTCTAATTGCTGTTCCGGGAGAGTTTACCACAATGTCTGGTCGGAGACTAAGAGATGCAGTTAAAGAAACGATAATCACTAATGGTGGTTCCGAAAATACTCGACCAATTATAACCGGACTTAGTAACGTCTATACTAATTATATTGCGACTCCAGAAGAATACCAAGTGAGTCAAGTGACACTCTTCTCATTATTTCACTAACACTTTTTTGTAATAATTAGTTGCAACGTTACGAAGGAGGTTCTACTATCTATGGACCACAAACACTGAACCTTTACATAAATAAATTCAAACAGTTGGCTACAGCTTTAATAAATGTGAGTGATTTTACAATTAAAACAAGCTATAGTTGTTTTTTATCAGGGGAAGACTCTAGATTCAGGACCAACTCCTCCTGATTTTTCCTCACAGCTAATCACGTTAGTTTCACCTCCTTCAGTGGATGGAATTGCAGAAAGTCACAATTTTGGCGACTGTCTCCAACAACCACCAGCATCTGTTTCAGTTGGAGACACCGTTTCAGTCAAATTTGTAAGTTAATACCACTTTAGTACTTCTTCACAGAAAATCTTTAGGTAAGTGGCAATCCTCGTCATGATGTTCTTCATGGTGGTACTTATATCAGTGTGGAACAGTCAGCTGGGGATGACTGGGTTCTTGTAGCTTCAGATGCCAACTGGGAAACACGGTAGGTACTTTTTCTTGAATTATGGTAAAATAACAACTCAATTAAAAAAATTAGATTTTATTGGAAGAGGACAAATCAGTTAACGGGAGAGTCTGAAGTTACCATTGAATGGAATATAGGCCAAAACGTTGAACCAGGGCAGTACCGCATAAGACATAATGGCCATTATAAAGAAAAATCTGGAGAAATTCGTGCTTATGAAGGAGTAACGCAAACATTTAAAATCGCGTGACGCAATTTCAATCTACATACCTATTTTGAACAATCACTTATTAAAATTAAATTCGTATTTCCTTACATTTAAGTATGTTTAACAATACATAAAAATAAAACATATTTGCTTGGCCATGTAATTTGTATTTGAAAAGTTTGTGATTTAAAAAATAAATAAAGATAAACATGAGTAGTATCGTACAACACTACAAACAAAAAAACTTTTTTTTTCTTGAAGATAGTGTTGAATTTTAAACTAATTTTTCACTAAATTTCGGCATTAATAGTATATTATAATGCTAGTCTATAAGCAAGCCTTTAAAACACGCACGACGGGTTTAAGAGCACGACGCGTCAGCGTCAGATGTTATAAACGAGTGTTATACGCTATTTTTTATTATACCTGCCCATTTTCGATCTTTTATGAGTATTGAAAAAATGTGAATTTACACAATGAAATTATCAAAGGTTGTTTGTGAATCGTTTTCGTAGAGACGGTTATTAGTTTACGTTGTTAAGCACATTTTTTCACGTTGGTCCAGACTAGAGTTCCTATATTTGAAGAGTTGGGACACTGAACGTCAAACCGAGCCAATTTTGTATTATGTGGATACGTTCTATCCTTTTTCATTAAAATTTTTCGTAGCAACTAATGTCAAGTTTATTTCAAAAATTATTCTAAGGTTATAAATTTTGTCCCATTTACAAATTGACATAATTTTACGTTAAAATTGTTCAGGGACGTAGGAGATAAATGGACATTGAGATGCGGCCAGACAGGAAAAAATTATGTGTACACAGTTGCTGTATACAGCATTTACCATGAGTAATAAAAACTTGATAATGTCTCCAGAAAACGTTTTAAAACCTGAAACTTACGAAATTATTAGAGTTGACCTGACTTGACGTAGATAAAATAAAACTCTCCAAACAACGGAATAATAGTCCTTGATCATGTGAAAGCTTCACCTTTGTTTTTGATAAATTTTACTTTTGGGTCCCTCACTCCAGTTGGCTAGTTTTAAAGAGGTTCCACTTGTCTTACACTGTCTGGTGCATTGGTGCAACGTGGCACAGAAAACAACTCACAGTTTCTTTATGTATTAACACAATAGGACCCAGCAGAATTGGTCATAATGACAAAAGACAGAGGTCAATTTTTATTTGACAAATTTATTTGACTTTTTGTTAAGTTTTACCGAAACGCCACTGATTTGTATCCAATTTTATTGTTATTATACGTCAGCCGACGTATATAAAAGAAAAATTGGAAAATAGACATTCAGTGTCCCAACTCTTCTAATATAGGAACTCTAGTCCAGACATTTCACTATTTCTTGTTACCTAGACAAAGGCCAAATTACGCACGCTGCAGCGTGTTTTGATTTAGGATTATGATGCAGGTGCAGGGTGCTTCACATAATTTTACGAGGCCTACGCCTGTAAGATGCAAGCAATAATACACATTCCGATACGAATTCGCGAACTCAAACAAATTTTGAAAAATTAGATAATCTTTTCTAGTTTGTCCACCCTTTCAAAAATTACAACATTTTTAATTAGTTAGTGATTAAGATAGATAAACTAGAATCATATTCATGCCGTCTCTTGATAGAACAAATGATAATTGTTTCTGACTATTAATGAAACAATAACACTGAGTCACTGTAGTAACGAGATTGTTTATGTTGTCTGTAGAAACTGTATTTAGGTCCTAGTACCCAAAATAACGATTTTCCAGACTATTTTATTGAGTCCGAAAAAGACTTAGTTTGAGGATTCAAATCTGATCGTAAAATAAAAAAAAATAAATATTGGGTAGCTATATTTGGTTTAGAATAAATGATTAATTTATAACTATGAAAATAAATACGTACGTATCGAAACATTGATTCGATTTAATTTTGTATACCTATTTGTTTACACGTACCTACAAAATGTGGTTAACCTTCCACGTATCTAAACAATGTAAAAATCTATTTATTGAAGCAAAGTATATTGTATAAAACTATAGAAAACGGCAAATTTATTTGTTATAATTTGTTCAAGTATTACGCACAAATCGGCTGCTTATCAGAATATCAGTGGTAATAATATTTAACACATGCAACAACTATTTTATTTTGATTTGAGTTTGTTGTAAAGACTTAATTATCATGAAACCGTATCAAAGCAGGTGTTTAGATTACATTTCGCAAACACTGTTTTGATTACAAATACTCCTATTATTCTGATTAATTTAAGTGAAGTAAATTTTCACAAATTAGCAAAAATTAAATTCAACTTAACGACGCAGAACAAAGCCATCGACACTGGATTAATTCTTCCTACAAAGCAACAGTGACGGAAGTACGTACTTATCGTTGACATTCAAACGCTTGTCATTGTCAGTGTTAGGTTTCTTTGTTTACGTGCAACTAATAGCTAAACGATGACTTAACCATTGAAAAATTGTACATTATTGACAACCACCAAATTTTGGAAAATTCGCAGCCAATTTATTTCGTTCGTAAATAAATTTATCATCACATGAAGTAAACACTTGTTATCTTCTTACATACTAATTTACAACATTTAAGTGGAACAAAATGATGTGTACTTTCACTCTGTTACGTCATATGTGATCTGAAGAGTGCAGTGCGACTGTATTTTTTCCGATTTATTATAATATATGCTTATGGTGAGTGATTCAATATCAAGGCAAAATTCTTTGGTAGTGTTGAGTCAACCATGACAGTGGTAAACACCAGTGAAGAATTGTGTTTATCAAACGTAATTTGGTGCACGACGGTGTTGGGCAAAGTTCTACCGGAAAAACTTGAAGACTTTAGGAAGATTTTAAACGGGTCAAATTGTCACTAAGGTAATATAGTCCTAATAGCCATTTATGTACTCAAATGAGTCCTTTATTCCCAGTTTCTAGAAGGATTTAGCATTATAGGTTCGATAGTTACTAAGGTAGCACTGATCTGATTGGTGTTTTGTAGCAATTATAGAACCGTTAAAATTTATCCAACGATAAATCGTTTAACTAACAGACTCTAAAACAGCTGTTTTCGGGAGCGTATACAAAAAAGTATTTTTTCCTACTAACCCTAAAAAAATCGTGACCGGCGAAAATTATTAGTTCATTTATCCCGCACATTGCAAGTCAATGAACAGAAAGCTAATTAACAACAATTTTAAGTCTAAATAAGTCGAGACACTTACAACAAACAAGCACGTGCTAAATTGCAAACACGTTGCGCGAAGATAAAACCATGTTCGCACTTATATTACTTGTTTTTTTAAAAATACATATTGTCAGTTAATTTTAAAATAGGTTACTTTGCGAAATTATATGTAAATTGCCGTATTTTCTTAGAAATAACAATGTAAATGCAAAGCAGAATCGACAAGAAAAAACACTTCAATAAAGAATTCTCGTGTTTAAGTTAAGTTAGCGAAGGTAAATGTTCGCAAATTTAATTTTCCTGAAGTTTCAGTAAACAATGATACATTTTGAGTGAAAATGTTAGTGAAAACGTTACAGCGTGGGTGTTAAGTACTTACACAATACCAGCATTAAACTCTGATTAGGGAAAGTTTAATAAATAGCGAATAAGCTCTATAAATAAACACATAACACATATTGTTTTTTTAAAACGCACACATAATTAATTATAGTATTTGACGTTACTGGCATGGTAAAAGGGTTTTTACTGGCGAGTCGCCAGTCACCTTCCATTACCTTGCCTGAATCGTTGAATATTTTTCGTCGTACTGTGTTGTTATGGTATAAATAACATTCAACAATTTACAATCTTTAAGCAGTCAATAATACCCTTGTAACTCATAGGACTGTTAATAGTATATTACATAACGAGCACGGAAAGTGATAAATAACGCACAAACGGGAAAATTGAGCACGAGGCGTTAGCCGGGTGCAGGCAATACTGCGAGTGCGTTAGACACTTTCCTGCAAGTTTTGTACACTATTTTTCCTACGAACATAAATAATTTTTTTCTTACGAACATATTTTTTTTTTTATAACGATTTATTTTTTATAATGGATACAAAAATACGTTGAATAACGATTTATTTTTTATAATGGATACAAAAAAATACGTTAAATGAAAAAAATACAAAACATTCAAGTGTGAATTGTGCGTTAGATTTCTAACACACAGTGCGAAAACAAATCGCACAGGTTTTCGACCTCGTACGATGTTGCCAATTTTCGCGCATATGTAATTGTGCGTTATGATCTAGTTTCGTATATGGTCGTAGGAAAAAGGTTTTAACACCCCACTTTTCTTTTAACGCCCGGTTTTTTGACAGTTTGAACCTTCAAATATTGACATTTTCAAAATTTGAAAATTATTTTTTTTAATATGGTAATTTAATACGACGAAAAACGTTGTACGTAACGACCGCGGGAGGATTACAACTAAACAACTCCCACGTAAAGATCATATCAGAATCGACAATAATTTATAATAACGGGTGTTTTTTTTTTAATTTGGCCCATTAAAGTTCGATTGTGAACGAACCATTCTATTGAAAATTATTAACCTAACATTTGACAGCGTATTAAAAATTGTGGTCCGTTCACAACACACTCATATTACCGCCAACTATGACGCCAAATTTAAATAAACACCTTTTATAAATTCCTCAAAACTAAAGAATTCCATGAACTCATTAAATTAATAAATCGAGATTTGCTCTCATTTTCACAAAATATTCAAGCTAAATTCCTGAAATTTAATAAGCGTATTAATTATATGTATAAAATAAAAAGGCTAAAATTAATTGAGACCCATTAGGTGCAAAGCTATTTCGTGGTGGCCTTTTTATAATCTTACTGTGTAGACTTAGTGAGTTTAAACCTACTCGTAGTTTTGTTGATATTAAATGTAAAACAGCTCTTAGAACTTAGAACACTAATACAGGGTGATTCTTAAATAGACCGACAAAATTGTATCACAGCTTCCTAAGGATAAATTGGAAAAAAACTGTACCATTTTTACGTTTATACCTTTTAGAGGCAAAACCCCCTTGATCCGTGCCACTTACGGCGTTTATGAATTGTTGCAATGATCAAGTACGTTAATACCATGGTTTCCACTATCTGTGCGAAAACATCAGTGGCGTACGTTTTACTTCGAAAATAACTTTAATAAATTTTGTTTGAAGAACGTTTAAACAAAGAATTTTTTAAATATTTTTTCCAGCATGTTCTTATTTTATACTACCAAGGATAAAATTTTGTCGGTCTATTTAAGAATCACCCTGTATAGTTACTGTCAGTGACGTTCACGGAATTTGTAAAATAAGATTTTATTATTTCGCAAATTACGTGACAACACCCTCGGTGAGGTCAGGTTCTTCAAATTTTTTTTTTAACGACAACCCATTATAAAACTTCTTATTTTACAAAAGCTATGATAGAATTGCTAGTGTCTACATTTTATTCATTTTTTTTTAACAAAATTTATAGCACTTTAATTTTTATGAATTATTACTTTCTAAAGTTAAATGATCTAAAAAAAATCGGTTGGTTACATACTTTTTATTCACCTGTATATAATTTATACAGCGTGTTCCGTTTTTATTGTTACAAATTTAAACAGATGATAGAATATTCAATTTTAAGATAAAACTTTCCTATAAACATGTATCGAAAAATATTATATAAGGGAGCTACATCCCCTGAAAGGGGTGCATCTTTGAATGCATTTTTTCCAATATTTCAGAAACCATTGTAGATAAAATTACAAAATTTGGTACAACTGATAATCTTTATACACCCAAATGGTAAAATGTCAAATTTTTACTCAGGGGCGTCCTAAACTATGGGGTTTAGGGTAAAAAGTATCCTAAATTTTTTGGCTGTTGGTTCTTGCCACTTTGATCTACAAAATTTTAAATTCCGTAGTTTTTCACAAAAAAGAGGTCTCTTGGGTTTTTTCGATACAACTTACCCTTTTTGAATAAACTCAGTTTACAATTTGTCATACAGACCATACAAAAGATAGAAATTAAAAATTAAATTTCTTTTACGGTTTACGACGCCCGTGAGTAAAAATTTCGACAACTGATCTTTGATTTCGTTCAGGCGTTGAAAGGTTATCAGCTGTACCAATTTTTGTAATTTTATCTATTCTGCATAGTATCTCCATTAAAAAACGCATTTCTTTTAGGGGGTGTAGCTCGCTTACATAACATTTTTTGATACATGTTTATAGAAAACTTTTGTCTTAAAACTCAATATTCTATGACCTGTTTAAATTTGTAACAATAAAAATGGAACAGCCCTGTATAGACATTTTTTAAATTACCATAGAAGTATAATAAAAAAAATGGCTATAAAAGTAAAATTTATAAAATATCATACCAATTAAAATTTTTCTTATCAAACCATTAAAACACATTTTGAGATTATGACACACAGGGTGTTCCTGTGATAAACAATTTTTATTCAGATACGTTTTGTTGAAAACAATGCAGTCACTTTCATGATAGAAATAAAAATTTATGTTTTTAGAAAATTATTTGCAAAATTACAAACATTTGATTTTTAATCTGTCTCATAATGATGACTCATCGTGAGACACCCTGTTTCCGTCTTACTAATTTTAAGATAAAAAATTTAAAATTATAAAATTTAAAATTTTAAAAACAATTTAAATAATGTACAGATTAAGTTTTTGGAGGATGAGACATCCTGTATTTATTTGGTTAAATTATTATTTTTATTTACTCTTCTGAAAAACTGAGTAAACTATTAATGTGTCACAAAATTACTACTTAAAATTTTTATACGACTAGTTACTGTCTTATCGTTCTAGTCTTGTTTAATAAAATTTTACTACACTTTCAACTTAAAAGGCATATTCTACAAACATGCCTGCATTTGTTTTACAGTTTTTGATTATACCGTGCGATCAAAAAATAAATAAATTAGAGTAGGCGGTGATAAAAGTCCTTCAGATGGCAATCCTGATTTTTGACATCAAATGTCAGCGGAAACTTTGACAAGTTTGCGTTTTATTCCTTGTGAGTGAAATAATGTTCACTTCAWAGCAGAATTTTTTTATTGCTGTACAAGAGGAAAACGGTGGATGGTCATTTTCATTTTCAGTTTGTGTGGAAAATTTCCAGCACAGATTCTCAGCCAATGTGTTGCCAACTGTAGAATTTAATCGACGCCTACTCTAATTTATTTTTTATTTGATCGCACGGTACATGTAGTGTTTTACCAGAGTTCTAACTTTTTTTAATCTAGTAGAATGCTGTCATAAATTGATAATAAAATTATATTAGACATAAATAAAACAGTTTAACGTAATCCAAGATAGGTAAGTACTACTAGCAAAATCTTTGAATAAATAGTTGCTCAGTTTATTCTCCTGCAGTAACAGAATATTTTGTTGTAAAATTAGAAAATAAAAAATCGATATTCCAATAAAGGAACAAAATTTATAACGCGCTCAAATCTACGTTAGGACAGAGAGCATTTCCAATCTATGACCCTAACATCTGTCTCCACGAGCAATATTTTCTCTCAGACTTTGTGTAAGGCTTTCTATCTAAAATATGACTCAAAACGTAAGGTTTCTAGAAAAAATTGACGTCAAAGGTTACGAGACGATAACTGATAAGAAATTGTAATTTTCAGGAGTTTAAAATGCGGAAAAAGCTATTAGCCTTACTCTGGATTATAACATTATCAACATGTCTTCGAACTGCTTTGGGTGTTTACAAAATTGGGGTCGGAATAGCTGATTGTACAGGACCGGCTGCTGAAGTTACATTTGTAATAAATAAAATGAAAGTGTGAACAAAGTTGATGGTAATTTTTAGATCGGTTACGGAAAATCGAATCAGAAGGGTTGTGGCATACATTTGCGTCAGTTTTCTCGGGCGTTTGTCATCGATGATGGGTCTCAAAGAGTTGCTTTTGTTAGCGTCGATGCTGGAATGATGGGTTATGGAGTTCGAAAAGCTGTAATTATTTTTTAATTTTAATAATGCTTTTATAAAAACGGAGTTTTAGGTCATTTCTCGCCTACAAAAACAATACAAAGACACTTACACTGAAAGTAACTTGATTTTAAGTGGAACACACACTCACAGTGCTCCCGGAGGATTTCTAATGGATTTTCTGTATGACATTCCGAGTTTGGGATATGTGAAAGAAACGTTTGAAGCTCTTGTTGATGGAATCACTAGAGTAAGGACATTATCCGCTTGAATGAGCTTTTTTTTAAATTTCGATTAAACTGCAGATTTATTTACCCAAATTAATCTGATTTCAGTCTGTTGTCAGGGCTCATGAGAATATGGTAGATGGGAAAATTTTTATCTCGACGGGAGAGCTGACTGGAGCTAATATTAACAGGAGTCCAACTTCGTATTTGCTAAATCCTGAGGAGGAACGTGATCGGTAATTATTCTCAAAATATTTTCTTCTTAAGGAAGAAACATTTTAGATTATTAAAACTGGTTTTGACCCGTTATAACACTCTTTAATTTCACTTGAAATGAATAATAAATTCATTTATTTGATTACTAAACTATTGAGAAATTGAGGCCTTCATTATAAAAGTAAAAATTATGTGTGAAATTCTACATTTTGTGTTGCTTGTCCTTGAAATATTGTTGCTTGTGCTTGAAATATTGTTGCTTGATTTCGTCGAAGATGGTATATAGAACAAAGGATGAATAAAAACATTAAATTCGTAACGACGTTTCGATACCTTTATCTTCCGCAGGCGAAGAATTTTCGTTGGCTGAGGAAGATACATTAGAGGTACCGAAACGTCGCTATAGATTTAATGTTTTTATTCATCTTTTGTCCTGTATACCATCTTCGACGAAATCAAGCAGTAAAAACTATGTATTCATACTGAGATAAAAAAAAATACAAAAGAAACTAAAAAAGAAAAAGATAAATTTGTAATTAAATTCGTTTTTACATTATGATGATTTTTTTAATTAATTACATAGTATAGTTTATGTAGCGAACGAAACGTTTATTTATAATCATAGAATATACTCAATATATAAAAACAAGTACCTAACACATAATTTTCCGGTCGTCAAAATTTCGAGCCTGGCGCCGTCTCTTGTTTATATGTTGAACTAAAATTGGCGGCAAATTTAAATACTTTATCATTCAATTTTACACAAATAACCAAAATTTTCAATAAAATCAGTTATATGTGTTTAATAATATTTTGGTTATGATGAAGACATAAAGAAGCACAACTTAAATTGTTTATTTATTTAACAAAATTGTACCACACATTATGATAGGATTAACTAAAAGTACTAAGTAAATGGATTTGATTTTTATATTTTTGACTGGGAGCTCCTGTATTCTTAAAAAATCCTGCCGTTCAAGGTAAATTTAAAAACAAAACATACAACCAAAAGATGGTACTAGTAGTTTCTGTTTACCAAGGCCATCTGGATCAAAAAGCTGCGCTTATAAGGCCGTTTCAATTTTCGATTTTTCCATATAAACTTTGTTTCTGTGACATTTCGGGTGTCAGTACCTTATTGCGCTCCATCTACCGATTTCCATCGCAGTCGATCGAGAGTTTTTAGACTTTTTATTTTTAGGTTAAGTGCTTAAAACATGAATGCTATAAAATATCCAAGATCCGAGCTTATTTTAGGTACATTCTGGACTAGCAAAATACTAATAAATTAGAATTACAATTAAACATGAAATCATAACACGAGGTAGGTTAGAACAATTTATAACTTCAATATTTTTCTGCAAAGTGGTTTGTTTGTTTGTTGAGTAATCCGTAATTTTTGTAGTGTCTTTAAAATTACAAAAACAAAGTAAAAGGTTGTCCTTATCATTGTCTGCATAAATTTGCTTACCGCAAAACGTTTCAAAAGTTTCGCACCATTTTTGCCTTTGTTGCATATTGCTCAGAATTTCAAATAATCGAAC